TTACCAGGTCGGAGAAAAGTAGGCCGGACAATCTAGCTGCACCGGGCGAGGAGCAATCCCGAAACTCAAGTGTGATCCAGTTCAACAGTTGTAAGTGGGCGCCTCTTGTACGGTGCCGTGCGAGTATGCAATAACCCGTCTGCACGGCTGCTTGCAGTATAACCAAAAGATAGGACGGCGCTGACGGACCACGTCCCTGTTTTTGTGGCTACACGTTTGGGCCACAACCTCGGTCACAGCCGCCGCACAGTCACAACGATGAGCTTTTTGGCTCTCGGCTCTCCAGATCATTTGATTTTTTTCCCTTTACACTCATGCTCCCGCCCCCGCCCCCTTCCACCCCTCTCCAAACACCCCGTCTGCTGGTATGTGGTTGTGTGGGCCACATTTCGGTCACAAACAGGGACGCACGACGCACGAACCCTTATCAACGCCGCGCATCCCGAAACTTGTGGAGTGGAAATAGTAGTAAAGAAAGAAGAAAGATATGGTTTCATTTACTTTTGTCGTTTATTCTTTGGTATAGATCTATAATACAACAATCGCGACTCAAACACTCGCTGCCATTCACTGCCGCAGACACAGTGTAAAAACACATTCTCTCTCTCTCTGTCCCTCCTTCTCCCTCGCTCTCTCTCTCTCTCCCCCCCCCTCTCCCTCTGCCTCTCTCACACACACACACGCACGCACGCACACACGCACTCATCATCTATTGTCAGCCTCGCCTTTCTCCCAGGCAGGTGATTCAATTCATTTTGACATATTTTGTTTATGTACATTTTTCCTCGAAATTCTACATCGAAGAGAGCTAAACTGTCCTAATTAAGACAGACATCGATGGAACGAAACATATGATCGGTAGGACTGAGAAGGTTGCGGAATACGCGGGGAAACGCAAAGAACGTACGAAACTTAAGAATAACTGTGCATGAGCATAACTTGATTGCTTTAGTAGTTTCGATGCACAGAGCATTGGTAAAAACACAAAGTTCTGAAACATATAAAAAGCACGTATTTTCTAAAACGCGTAACTACTAGAAATGGTTGGTCAAGCATTAACAATTGCAAAATGCAACAATCTGAGTTTTTAACAAAATGAGAGTACAGTGCTAAATCACTTACCCCTCGCTTAAAATACTGCCGAGAATATTCTCACAAATTGCCTGTAAGACAGTTCTCGGTGACACATTTAGTATGCACGATGTCACACCGGCCCCGTACTTTTTTGTACCACGCCGCAAGCGCGCATTAGCGTGTGGGTGGAGGCCGCAAGGGCTCTTATGGTCACTACGCCACGCAAACCATGCAAACCCGCTCGACCACCTAGGCACACGCAATACGGGACAGTATAGCCAATGCAAAAGACAGACCGGCCGCTGCGACACCCAGCATACGCACGTTCATTCATTCCTGAATTTTAATTCATACACACCTTGAGGTGACACCATAATGTATTATCTATCACAGTATAGCGACGAAAGTTTCTTGTCGCATCCTCCCCAAAGGTAAACTACCATGAGCAGACAACCGAATGTGGTTGATGCTCAGCTCGAGATTGAACGACCCAGACGCCCATCACGTGATATGCCGTCATCAACGTATCACAAAAAGTCTAACTTATGATTTGCACAATACGACACACAAGTTCCGTATTAAGCAAAACTCTAGCAACTTAGTAAATTTATTACTTAAGTCTGTGAAGAACATGTGCTTAACAAAGCTTATAAAAAAAAACTAACAGTTGGTAAATTATTTTGGCTTTTACACATCATTAATGATTTGTCAGGAAAACCATTTTAAACTGAACATTATCTTTGGGAATTGCGAAGTGACAGAAATATATACAATATGAAGAGTTCTTGCTCTGTATAACATAAAAACACAGAACAGGAAGCAAAAGACCACACAAGCTATTTTTATTGCTAAACTATACACACAGGTTATAAGAAGATCGGGTTCTCCTAACCATGGAAACAATTCAGGGGTCATTTGCTTTCCTGCTGCAACTCCCTTACATGCAGTCGAAAATATCTTGTTTTATTTATTTTAATACATACAGTAAAATACGCTGGAGTCTTTCACAAAAAGCAGAGAAATGCCGCTTCACGCATTATTGAGTATTATTGTAAGAAAAGAGAAATTGAAAATATCGGTTGCGCGATTAGAAAATTCTTTGCGACTAAAATAATACTTTGGTAAAATTGTTACAGTATAATTGATTTTGCTAGATCACCGTTGTTTTGTTACTAGTCATGGGATTCCCTCAAACAGGTACAATCGACGATACCAACGATATCAAAATCGAGGTATATAGTATAGAGTGGGGGGTGGAGTTGGCTTGACTGACGTCCGCCGAGCTAGTCAATATAGATGTCCTCCACAGGGAATGCAGTCTCGACGTACTTCTGATAAAACCGCTGGAAAGCTCGACTAGAGAAAAATGAAAACACAGATTCATGAAAACACAGAAAAATCACGATAAATGGTGCGTTGGCGATGGTGGAGCACAAATGTGCGGAGGCACTTACCCAACGCTCTCCGCCACGGGCCGGGTGGACTCCTGGCCCTGGAAGACGTGACAGGCGAAGCGCTGCATCTGCGGGTGCTTCGTGATGAAGCCCAGGAAGCGCTGGTCCCGTGGTAAGTAGGCGCAGAATGACACGTGCTTCAGGGAGTAGAAGTAGTCCAGCGGCGGGGTCTGTTGAGGAGTCCGCGGGCGCTGTGGAGGGGTGCAACGGGCGCAAAGGTTAGCGGGGAGATACCCAGGGGGAGGGGGAGGGGGCGTCGGCGGGGAGGTGCTCACCTTGCCGCGCCCGCTGTCCGACATCCGCAGGCCCTTGTCGGACACCTCTAGCACGCACGGCATGTACGTGCCTTTGGGGTTGCCGTCGCTGCCCACCATCTTGCTGACCGCTGCCGCCAGCACGGCCGTGCCCTTGTGGCGCTGCGTCTCCACCGAGCCCAGGTAGCGCATGAGGAAGCGCTCGCGCCGCACCCGAGGCTCGCTAGGGTCGAGCTCGGCGTACTCCATGTCCACGGCGTACGCCGAGGGAAAGCAGCCCTGGCGGCCCGTCCGGAGGTTGACGCCTGTTATGTAGAGAAATAATCACAATGTCACCGTTAACAACCCTCAAAAACATCTTATATGCTGCTATAACCACCCCTGCCCATCATACGCACCTTCACACCACAAGTCGTCGGCCTCCTTCTGCACGTAGATGAGGTCCCCGATCTCGACCTCGATCTCGTCCCGGTGTCGCGGGGCGAACTTGTAGAGGCCCCGGTGCGTGGCCTCGAGCAGCTCCAGTTGCGAGGTGGGCAGGCGGCCGCCGGCGCCGCCCACGCCGTCCGCGCTCGAGGTCGGGGAGCCGGGCGCCGATCCGGAGTTCGGGGAGAGCGAGTCTGTAACCAGAGCGCGCCAAGGTGACCCCGGGGGACGTGAGCAGCGCTGCGCTGGCGCGGTGTGATGAAGTATGCTTACCATGCTGCAGCTGGGGCGAGTGCATGGTGGAGTGGCCCGAGTCCAGGGTGTCCGTCTGCGAGTCGGGCGAGTCCAGCCCGGTGCACTTGAGCACGAGCAGCGGCCTGGTCACGCCCCCAGGCGCGAACACCGGCGCGAACACGGGCAAGTCGGCCGCCCCTGCCGCACCGAGCTCGGCCGCCAGGGACATGGGGCCAGCCCCCGACCCCGCCATGCGACAGGTGCTGCAGCCCGCGCAGCTCGAGTTCCAGAAGGCGGCGGCCGCGTCTGGGGTTGAAAGGGAAGGGGTGGGTTAGAGCACCACTCTGGATGATGGCGATCCAGACAGATTTGCCCCGGCCTTGGCCTTGCGGGGGCCGCCCCCCTCGGCCGCCGCCGTGATGGTGGTAGTTATCCATTATCATGATTATCCTCATTGCTGTTGTGCGTACTCACTCTTGGCACTTTGCGGGATTTCGGGCAATCGGCGTCGTCTCCTCTCCCGCGGGGGTCCGCCGGGCACCGCGCTGGCCGCCGCGACCACCGCGTCCCCGGGGGCCGGCGCCGAGGTCACGGCCGCCGCTGACCCCGCGGTGACGCTGGAGAGGCCGGGCGCGCGCCCCTCGCCGAGCGCCCCGCTCTCCACGGGGGTTGCGCCCGCGACCCCAGCCCACACATACCGGCTGCGTGGGGGGCCGTCGAGCCTGCAAGACAAAGAGCGAGAGTGTTGGAGAGATGAGGTACAGACAGACGTCGAGTCGAGAAAACAAGCCCAAAGGAGTCGGGGGCAGATGATTATGATTATGCCGTGTCCGCCCCTGCTTGTTTGTGCCCTCTGTAGTTGCCGTTTTTGCTGAGTATTGGTGGTTCGACGGCGTTCTGGTTTGATCGGATGGGAGCATTAAATCCATGTTTTGTGGGGAAACATTATACGCGTATTTGTAACGCGAGTAACGCGAGAGACAACGCAAAAGATTAAAGGAATAATAAAACAGGGGGAATGGGACATTTTCTGCGCTTCAAAGCTTGTCTTGCGAAAGACGTCGTTGGTGTCGGGTTACCGGACACCCTCCCAAGTCGCACGAAACAGGCCACAGTGCGGATCTAGGGCATCGCCTCTCGCTCTCTCCCTCTCTCTCTCACGCACACTCGGCTCTCTCGCTCCCTGTCCCTATGTCTGTATTCGCCTCACAGCAGAAACATCAAACATCCACGTTACCTTCGGAATTAAACTGCGAGCTTGGCATGCTTTATTGTACTCACCTTGTGAGATGCGGCGGCGACGGCCTCCTCTCCGCCCCCTGTGGCGCGCTGGTGCCGAGGCCGCCGCCGAGACCGCCACCACCCCCGTCGGACGCCGCGGGGACGCCTCCCCCTCCCCCTCCACAGGCGTCCTCGTCTGAATCGCTGCGCGTCGAGCTGTTGGAGCCATCGTTGTCCTCGTCCAGGGCCAGGTCATGAACCAATCTGCGGCAAAAGACGTGATCGAGGTCAGAAAGCGCGACACGCGACACCACTCTCTAGGGACGCTCAACTACTGGGTGCGCTTGAGAGAGTTCTCAACTCTTTGGTAGGTTTCGAGTCGAATGTGTGTTTTGTTAAACCTACAAGAATTTCCCCCGGCAAGGAAACTCGACAGTACCTGTACGATTTACGTGTTGCTCGTCTGATAGTGTATTTCGGAGAGAAGGGAGGAAAGGTCTCAGTGAGAGCCTAGGCAATAAATTCAAGCAGGTGGACACCACAGGGGGAGAAACGCTCTCCGCGTTGCACCGTCGGCGAATCCGGCAAGAAGGATGACGTCAAGCCGGGTGGGCGGTGAGTCAGCCCCCCCTACCCCTACCCCACTCCCACTACCGCGCTGCCCACCCCTGCCCCCAGGGAT